GCAGTGAATGCCCAGATCACTGTCTTCTAAGATGTGAAGATCTATAGTTGGGTAGAAAATTACCAATATTTCAGTTTTCAGGGTTGAAAAATGAGAACAGTTCATTTTTCAACCTTGAATAAGGAAGCAGCAGGTTCCTGCAGAACCTGCAGTGAATGCCCAGATCACTGTCTTCTAAGATGTGAAGATCTATAGTTGGGTAGAAAATTACCAATATTTCAGTTTTCAGGGTTGAAAAATGAGAACAGTTCATTTTTCAACCTTGAATAAGGAAGCAGCAGGTTCCTGCAGAACCTGCAGTGAATGCCCAGATCACTGTCTTCTAAGATGTGAAGATCTATAGTTGGGTAGAAAATTACCAATATTTCAGTTTTCAGGGTTGAAAAATGAGAACAGTTCATTTTTCAACCTTGAATAAGGAAGCAGCAGGTTCCTGCAGAACCTGCAGTGAATGCCCAGATCACTGTCTTCTAAGATGTGAAGATCTATAGTTGGGTAGAAAATTACCAATATTTCAGTTTTCAGGGTTGAAAAATGAGAACAGTTCATTTTTCAACCTTGAATAAGGAAGCAGCAGGTTCCTGCAGAACCTGCAGTGAATGCCCAGATCACTGTCTTCTAAGATGTGAAGATCTATAGTTGGGTAGAAAATTACCAATATTTCAGTTTTCAGGGTTGAAAAATGAGAACAGTTCATTTTTCAACCTTGAATAAGGAAGCAGCAGGTTCCTGCAGAACCTGCAGTGAATGCCCAGATCACTGTCTTCTAAGATGTGAAGATCTATAGTTGGGTAGAAAATTACCAATATTTCAGTTTTCAGGGTTGAAAAATGAGAACAGTTCATTTTTCAACCTTGAATAAGGAAGCAGCAGGTTCCTGCAGAACCTGCAGTGAATGCCCAGATCACTGTCTTCTAAGATGTGAAGATCTATAGTTGGGTAGAAAATTACCAATATTTCAGTTTTCAGGGTTGAAAAATGAGAACAGTTCATTTTTCAACCTTGAATAAGGAAGCAGCAGGTTCCTGCAGAACCTGCAGTGAATGCCCAGATCACTGTCTTCTAAGATGTGAAGATCTATAGTTGGGTAGAAAATTACCAATATTTCAGTTTTCAGGGTTGAAAAATGAGAACAGTTCATTTTTCAACCTTGAATAAGGAAGCAGCAGGTTCCTGCAGAACGTTTGTAACCTTCTACCTGAGGCACAACCTCACATCTCAGCAGACATTATCGTTCAAAAAACAGACAGTGTCCTGAAAGGCACTGAAATATGTACCAGTACAAGTTTAACCACTTTACTGCCAAGCCTATTGCTGCACACCATGTAAGAATCTCCAGGTTTCATAGAAACTGAAATATATGCACCTGAAATGAGAGATGTACAATGTTCAATTCTGCATAATGAGTCTGCTCTTAATAATGTGCATAATCAGTCTGTAAGCACTGCCTAGATCTGATCATATTAGGTTGGCTCATTGGCAGGGATAGGCAGTAGTGGTTGGCTCTTGAATGCTTTACAACCCAAGGATGGATCTATGCAATGCAAATAAACTCTATACTTTATCTCCTTCAACTATATGGGTCACATAACATCATAAATGGTGGATGATAAATTCAAACAGATACAGAAGGAAGTCATTGTGGTATATTAAATGACACTGCCCAAGAATTTGCCTTAAGTGGTTAAGGAAAACCTCGAAACATTTCAACCAGGATGGCTGGTTCACATGAACTTGCCACACAGTATGAATTAGTGATATCAGAGGATAATTACTGAAAATTAATTGGAAAGGCCACAGAAGTATTCATTACCTAATCTTTCCCTGCATTTGCATGGAGGAACTGAGGAAAACCATGAAATATGTCATTCAGGAGAGCTGGTATCTGGGCTGCAAATTGAACATGAGACCTCNGAATTCGTGCCACAGTCCTCCCCACCGAGAAGACTGTCCCTGTGTCATTGTGCCAAGGGTAAAATTTCTATTTGCTTCTGTTGTTAACATCGTTCGTGGCACTGCTGTCTGGGCATTTAAACCACCTTCTGCTGACTTCGGGCTGACAGCTTCCTCCATAACACTTGACAAACAATACAAATGACAGCCTCTTGAAAACTACTGTTTGGTACTGTAATCAGAAAGTTATAAGGCAACGTTCTGAAAATAAAACTTTTGATAATTTTGTTTCATAATGTGTACTCTGGGGGCTTAGGTCAATATCAGTTCACATGAGAACTATTATTAACAAAGTTAATTATATGTTTGAGGGACCCTAACTGCAAATAAGAATCAGTGCTTTATTTTACAAAAAGTCTAATAAAATATACATAAATAAATATGTATTAAATCACGACTTTTCTTAGACTTTAAGGAGGCTCCATGACAATGACATATCATTCTTAACATAATCTGGTATTGAGAAATATTAACTAACCAACCTGGTCTAGGTTTATAACATATACGTCCATAACCCTCAAATACACCTCTTAGTTCAATCCGCCATGTTGCTAAAACCGGTTATTGTACCATCTGGTTGGAAGGTCTGGAAATTACAGGAAAAGAATTGAGAATCGTACTTCGCCATAGAGCTTGTATACAAAGAATGAATTAAGTATCTTGTGTTATATAGCACACAAGAAGCACAAGAACATATGTAAGCACAATTGGAGCACTGCTTAAATATATATTTACGTTGTCAGTTTATTTCATAGAGATTAAAATTACGCGAGGTCTTTGAAGCTGATGGTAGTGTAAAAACAGCAATTTTTTCAAAGCATGAAAATCAGTTCATGCTCCACGGTATATGTGCTACGAACCATTGGTTAAAGTTCATAGTCGGTATGTTTATTCTAGTGTGTTTAAGGTTACTGATTAGACTACTATTGAAATATTGAATATTGTTTATGTTATGAGTGTATTTACATCAATTAAGAAGTCTATGTGTGTTTTCAAAAACTGCAGATCGTCACTCCTGTTCAGAAGTCTTGTACACTCGAGGATCATGGTTAAGTTCCTGGGTCAAAATGAAGCGATCAACATTGATCAAGAGTTGTTCAACGAATATAAATTCAGCGTGGACCAGTTAATGGAACTTGCTGGTTTAAGCTGTGCTGTGGCGATCGCAAAGTGTTATCCAATATCTGACCTAAGAGACAGTAACATTCTTGTATTCTGTGGGCCCGGAAATAATGGGGGCGATGGACTTGTTTGTGCTAGGCATCTTAAGCTGTTTGGATATTGCCCCTCCGTATACTATCCGAAGCGTACGGAGAAACCTCTTTATCAAAATTTAACTACACAGTGCCAGGCAATGGCAGTACCATTCTTGGAAGACGCTCCAACTGCAGAAGCACTGAACAAAAATTATTCACTCCTAGTGGATGCTTTATTTGGGTTTAGTTTCAGGCCTCCTATGAGGGAAGAATTTGTGTCTGTTGTGGATGCAATAAAGAAGAGTGGAGTACCTCTTTGCAGTGTTGACATACCAAGTGGATGGGATGTAGAAGATGGCGCTCCTGAATCGGGAGGCCTAGAGCCAGATTTGCTTATCTCTCTTACAGCTCCCAAGAAATGTGCTGAAAAGTTTAGAGGAAGGTTTCATTATCTTGGGGGACGTTTTGTTCCCCCTGCTTTGGAAAAGAAATATGATCTTAAACTCCCGAAATATCCAGGCACAGAAGTATGTGTAAAACTCTAATGGATTATGTATGATACAGTGCATTAGGGTAAACCTATACAGAATAAATGCAGCAATACAGGGTAATGCTTGTAAAGAATGTAATGATTTATACTTAAAATAGGGTTGTATACTTAAATATTTCAGAATCATGGGGATATGTTGCATTATGAACTGAAAAATTTAAAGTTCTATAATCTGTAATGTGTTAGGAAGTTGTCATTGTACCAGGGCTTGAATGTTGCTTATAAAATAAAATATGTTAGTGGTGGTAGATGTTGAATTTTGATTGTGTTTTTACAAGATATGGTATGGTCCATGTAAATTAATTACAATCCCCAGCAAATCCTCAGGTGCACCACAACACTCACAAGATGTCCCACCCAGTCTGATATAATCATTACAGAGAACTAAATGCTGTTAACAGCTTAAAAGTTTAACTTCTTTACTCTGTAATTAAGCCCATAATTTAAAGACCAAGAATATGATAATGTGCTGCATGATCAGTTCCATTGCCCATCTTAGTGGTGAAGAGGCAGGGGGCCAGTGGCAGATGGGTATGGAGCAATGGTGGAATGATGATTAGCTTGGCCACACATAAATGGCATGCAGTGTTCATGTAATCTCTGAGTGCCAGTTTATGTTTGATCATCAAAGGTCATTTTACACATTAATAAAAAAAAAGGTAAAGCTATCCCTGTAACAGGCTGTGGAGGCCCAGAGGGTTGTGAGATGTCGAGGCTCACACATATACTAGACAACTCACAGATGGTGGTGAGGTCAGCCTTACATGCCGACTGCCCTCTACCCCCAAGAATATTCCTGGTACTCATTTCCATTAGAGGCTGAGTTGACCCCAGGGCCATAGTGCTGCTGGAAGGATGAGGTCAATTGAAAGCATCCAGTGACTTCATCAGTAATCAAACCTGTGACCTTCCGGTTTGTAGCATAGTGTCTGAACCCTGCGCTGCCCTGTGCCTCACAGATTAGCACATGTTAATAATTATTCAATACCTGTAACAGTTTGGTAGAAGACTGAAGTATGTACACATAGTACTTGGCTCCGGTGAAGAAGTGTCACTTGTACCAATAAGAAACTGTGACCTTAACATCAGAAGGTAGTTTGTCCAACAGGACTGACATGTTAATAACCTTAGTTTATACCGTACAGGACTGCTGTTATTATCTTTGATAAGAATGTGTAAAATCTTGGTGGCCAAGTGGACTTAAACATAACCTGACAATGAAAAGTAATTTAATACTATCAAAAGGCACTGATGTGCTGTTACATTAGTTGAGACAAATTAATTTCAGATATCAACTGACAAATCAACTTCTGAAGAGGTAATGTCGATGAACATTTTCCTCGCATGACATGTAATAGTCCTTAGCGAAACCATTAACCTATAGAATGTATGTAATTCTGATTGTTAATAAATACTAAACAAAAAAAAAAGATATCAACTAGAAAAATACTTGGAAGAATATGATTATTGTTTGTTAAATTATTACAAGGAACTAGAGTACATTTATTACAAGGAACAAGAGTACATGTGGGGACACTCGGTAACTTGATTGAGGCACTATGCTACAAGCTGGAAGGTCGCAGGACTGAATCCTGATGAGGTGGATTTTTTCAATTTACATAATCCTTCCACCTGCATTATGGCCCTGGGGTTGACTTAGCCTCTAACAGAAATGAGTACCAGGAATATTCTTGGGGCTAAAGGGTGGCCGACGCATAAGGCTGACAACCTTGCTACCATCTATGAGCTGATTGTCTAGAAAATGTGGGAACCTCAACATCTCACAACCTTATGGACCTCCATGGCCTGTTACAGGGATACCTTTACTTTTTTATACTTAGAAGAGCACATGTATGTTAGATCGCATTTTGTCATTTGAGAGAGTTAAAATTAAGATCTTTGCTGGTTGTGTGATTTATTTATAGTGTAACAAAATTGTAGGCTTCTTTGATGTGATGCTCTGTAGGCTGGAAGATCTTTTCCAGAGTTTTGGTGAACTTGCTGCCTCCATCTTCATGATAGAAAAATGAACTGAGTGTGGAAAGAATGGTGTATGATATAGAGAGAGGGAGGATCGGACCTGGGCCCTGAGCAAACCATCAGTAAAAAAATGACAATTTTCTTATGACATGGTCAATGCAGAGATGAGGTGAATGGAATGTGAGGTCTTGTGAAGCTTACAAATGTGAAGTTCAGCACGTCTCAAGATATACCCCATTTTTTCACTCTTGGCTTACAACCCTGAAGATAGGGGCAGAAAAATCTTCCGAAACGTTGAACACAAACCACCAGACTATACGGCGTCACATACGAGACGACGGTACTCAATATAGTCACTGACGTTTGAACGTCAAATGCCATATTTTTACAGTTCAGTTGTTTTATGTTAAAAATTAAATAATTCAGCGGTATCGAATAACAAGATACATCATTTGAAGACGTGTTGCCCGTTATACTATACAAAATACTAACAAAAAATAAATGCCCCAATTAAAGCAGTGTGTCTGGAGATAAAGATTTGTCCACACCCCCTTTGCAGTTCATTAAGATTGACACATTAGCTCATTAAGAACATCAAGGATCAAGAAGGTTGACGTTGGATAATTTATTTTAAAAGTATCGATAATTGAAAGTAATCGAGTCACATTGCCGTCATACTCTGTATCGATGCAGTGTCTGTTTCTGCAATCGCGATGAACTTGTCAAATATGACTGAACCATGGAAAGAAATGGAAAGCCTCAAAAGAACTCGAACTCGATATTTAGTTGTATTCTCGTTGTTTATAATTCTCTGGTAGATCCAAATATTATTCTAATCCGAAACATAACAGTAAATTCCATCTGTACTAATGCAGTGGTTTTTGGTGACTTTCGTCGTATGTTGACATCACTGAATAAGATCGAAAATTTATATCTTTCTTCGATGTATCAGGCATGATGGGCATGATGTCACTGGAGCCCAAATTAATGTTGAAGTATGGGAGTAGAGACTTGAGATTGTTATTCCTCTAGTGAACCATTTTATTTTATTTAGTGAAACCGTGAGACTCGAGTGATAATCGGACAGTTCGTATTTTTATGTTATGATATATATTAGCTTTACTGATTTGGAGGGGAAGTGCTATAATCGTTACAATACGGGCAGAAATGAATTGATCATATACTTAGTGTAGGTTAGATTGCTTCCGCATTCATCCACGAAAGAGTGAAAAGGCAGAAGTCTATCTTGTGAAAACGAGTAATGTGATTTCAGAGCCTGTAAGTAAAGGTTAGGGCAGACTTACCGCTGTCGCAATTGAGCGCTACACCGTGAAGACATAAGTCTGTGCGAGGGTGGAAGTGTGTCGCCACTCATTCCTAACTTCGTCACTAGGTGGAGGTGCGTAAACCCTATATATAAGTTCTGTTGAATTGCTAAGAAGTCATTAAGATACTCTGTAATGTAACAAAATTTTAGAATCTTGAAATCTGTGTCAAATATTTTAATTTCTTACACTTTTTCATTGACGTAGTGTGAGAAAGTATAGCGATAGTGAAAGAAAAAAACATCTCGAGAGGTTGACGAGTTTTGAGGACGACTGAATGAATACAAGAGAGTGTTTCTATTTGAAAAATGTGTTTATATGTCTGTATATATGCATAGATGGACGTGACCATTGCCAACATTCTGACGTCACAGCCTCTCCTCGGAATGTGACATACATTCCTTTGTGTTTCACACACGGGAGGAGAGAGCTGACGATTTCCATTGGTAGACACATCAGCAAATAGACGAAGTCTATTGGTGTCTTGGTAGTATGCTCAAGGAAGAGAAAATATGGGTGGAGTCAGCGGCTCTGATTGGTTCATTTGCCGTTTTCATGGTAATCATGAGGGCGAAACAAAAGCCAAGTTAAGTTAAAAGATTAGGTAGTTAAAATTAAGTCTGCATAATTAACGCAGGACTGTGTCAAGCTAAGGTGTGAACAGCCGGAATTCGTTCCCTGGCAGCGTTAGGTATATGAGTGCTGGATCTGGGGTAGACGCCGGTAGACGCCTTCTACTTAGATCCAGAGATCTACGCCCAGAACTACCGTTCCCAACAGCGATAGGTGTAGGAACGGCTTCACGAGATTAAATTGCAGAAATTTACTTTTTCTATGCGCTGGCAATTCCCCGGCGCCTTTGTACTAAATTGGAGGGTCTGCTTAGATTTGAAAATCAATTTTCACCCCCACCGGGTCTACTTTAAGTAGAATCAGAGGGATATTGCCTGTAAGGGTGGGAGGATGAAGGAACTGGCTCAGGATCGTGTCCAGTGGCGGGTTTGGTATTAGCAGTGTTGAACCTTCGGGTCCTGCTACTAGAGATTCAGTTAATTAGTAAGGCGGATCTTAGGGAAATAGGGTGTGAGGTTGGGAGGCGGATGGATGGAGCTGGCACGTTGATCAGCAGTTCTGAAGGCCTGACGTATTTTGAATTTTAAGCGCGTTTATAAGATATGCAAGTAACCTGCCCACAAGTTCTGAGAACACTGCTCAGTTCTCATTATTGCTTCTGGCTTGCGATCCATTGGAGACTATCAGGAGACAGAAATAGCCAGAAGGCCCGCCATCGCCTTTGAAGTTCGACATGAGACTACTAGCGCCTGCCGGACCGTGATACCGCTTACGGTAATTGGCTGTAGTACGTATTCTAGTGTACGATAGATGACAGCCTACCCAATATGTTAGGCCTACATAAAATAGACCTTCCAATTCTTTCGTGCGTTGAAGATACTGGATGAGGTTGGATGGTCCTCAGAAACCGCGTGGGTGTCGAGAGGAGAAAAATCTTGAGCCTACCGGGACTCGAACTCCGACCCCACGGCCGCCCAGCCCGTAGCCAGTCGCTGTATTGACTGCTACCAGGGTTTCGGAGGAGCCTGCAGCCTACATTTCTGAGTAGAAGAGTGAATCACCCTGAAGACAGCAGCACGTTCCTCCGAAATCCTGGTAATTACGTAGCGTTACGTGACTAACCTTTTAACTTGATTTCTTCCGCCGGTCTAGTGCGACAACTTCTCCGGCACCTAGGTGAGGCAGGTAGTCTAATCATACAAATGCAGGCGATTCGCTGAGCATGTCAGCTGGCGACGGGAGTGAATGTACCAATCTCAACAACTAGAAGTGGACTTACTCACCCAGTAGAGTCACATCATCAGCGTAAATAGGCCAACAGCTGATGTGTCCCATTTAATTTTAGTCCCACCTGGTTTTCCTGGACCTTCCTAATTGCATATTCTTAAGCAAAATTGAAAAGGAGTGGCGATAAAGCATCTCCTTGTCTTAGACCATTCTGGATTGGAAATTTATCAGACAAATGTTTACCTACACGGACTTTACTATACGTTTCGTTTAAACCTATTTTAATCAGCCTAACTAGTTCCATGGGTATTCCAAACTCTATCAGAATATTGTACAATACTTCCCTCCTAACCGAATCATAGGCTTTCTTGAAGTCTATGAATAGCTGATGTACTGTCTCATCGTACTCCCACTTTTTCTCCAGTACCTGACGAATGCAAAAGATTTGATCTGTAGTTAATCTGTTACGTCGAAACGCACACCGACGATCCCCAATAATTTCATCTGTGTATGGACTTAACCTTGAGAGAAGAATATTGGATACAATTTTGTATGAATTTGATAGCAGTGATATCCCCCGATAATTACTACAGTCAGTTTTATCATCAGAATTAGACAGAAGTGGAAATTTATGTTTCTATAAAGTAATGTTTTCGTAATGCCTTCTGTGATATCTTCTACATATTTATTAGCCCCGTTGTTCATTTATTGTCAATATAATTTTGTTATTTATTTTTACAGCCAGGCAACAGAAATTAACTCAGTTTACTTGGCATAGTGTCTGCTTAAAATCCGGAGAGATTGTGAACGAAGTTAATTATGGAATTAAATAAGGTTTTAACAGTGACTGCGCTCTAATATTTATGTCCGTTGTTGCAAAGCTAGGAAAGTTTCTGAACAATCGTTCGTTAGTGTTTCTTGTCACATAAAGTTTAATTTATTGTCTCTCTTTGTACTACATAGAAATAACTTCTCAACAGCACGACAGGAGCTCACTCAGCACTGGCAGATGTTACAGAATTCAGCACAATCGCGCACGCGTATTAATTTTATTGAACCATACAGCTTTGTTTTGAGCTATGGGTTTTCAGGTGGTAATCAGTTGAACATGAATTATCATTACAACTATGCAGTTACTTAATGCTAGTGTTTAGTCAGTGTTATCGTGTAATGTACAATATTTTCTTGCGCCTACGATACTATGTGTTTACATCTAACAAAATTGTTGGACACGTGTCTTTCTGTGGATGACTCGATATGTTGTATCGTGCCAAATTAAGGGAATACTAGGTGAATATTGTCACATCTTTACCCCAAGATGTGTTTGAATTAGTCGTTACCCATTTCTGGCCACTGTTTCCACAGACAGCTCATCCAATGCTCCAGCCATAGAGATTGCAGCCGTTGAGCAGCACTTTGAAATCACGATTTCATGGAATATTCACGATGTATATTGGAAATGTTCTGGAAGAACCTCATCATCATTACGCCATGCATCTATTTCCTAACTTATTTGATTTCTCCATAAATGTCGGAGAGTAAATTTCAACAATGAACTTAATCTTTCGGGTCTGTACGAGACAATATAAAAGGAATGTGGGGTGTGTATTGGTTATAGCAGGGCCTTAGTTGCTGTGTCCCCCCCCCTTCTCCCAAGATACAGCTGCAACCACTGGCCTGCAATTTCTTCCCATATTTCTCTTCACCCCCTCGTTGGTGTCTCCACCTTATCGTGGTGAGGGGGTTTGAGTATGCCAAGGACCCTGAGAGCTATACCAACGGTAGCGTAGCTACTGGCAGGGCCTCCCTTGCTGGACAGGTCAAAGGGTAGGCATCAGACGAAGAGAGACACCAAAAACCAAAAACCAAAAACTGATGCCGGAAGCAGCGTCATCAGCAGCGACTTGAAGCACAGAACAAATGATGCTCGAGATGGTTCAAGTTCGTATAGCAACAGGCGTGACCAGAGTGGTTTGAACGGCTGTTGTACTGCGATGTGGAAAGCAAATGGAAAAACTACCACATTATCACTTTTCCTGGACAGTCTCTTTCCAAAAACAGAAGATCACATTAAGTGGAGGAACTGTTTTGGAAGAGACTGTGGACCTGTCATCTGACAGTTACTGATCAATCAATCAATTTCTCTTCACATGGAACCCTGGCACCCAGTTAATTACCGCGGTATCAGTGCAGTGACGTGGGTAGGAGCATGTGGGGACGTGTCTGGCAGGTAGAAATTTGTCTGATTTGTGAATCTAGACAACGTTTTTTAACCCCTGGTTGTATGTGTGTCACTTATTTTTCACTCAGTTCACGTCCCACAGTTTGTTACAAGCGTTCGAAAAATTAATCAATGCATTTAAATTAATTGCCTTGTTTAATGTAAAATAATCAGCACCTAAATCTGTTTTCTGAGCTCTCTTCTTCTTAGAGCGAGTCTGAAACATCTGTGAGGGAACTTGGGTAGGCAACCTTACGGAAGAAAAATCCCTGTGTGTTCAACGGGATCTCCAGTGTGATGATTTTGGTTCCAATCATGTGTGTGTTGAGAAGAGGATTTGGTGACCTAATGATCTGCGACACTGTGATGATGACGCGCCATCAGAGATGTTTCATACCCAGCATAAGACAAGTTTAGTTGCTGCGAATTCTGTTTAGCAGTAACATACAAATACAGTGTAATACACAGTAAGAACATTGCACATTGACAGCCAGTCACATGAAACTCATTCCCACTTGCTACAATAACAAGGAACAGTTTCCTGAACTACTCTGGCAGTATTATTGTTTCAGTTCTCTGTTGGGATCCGTTACCTCCTGGACACACCTCTCGATGTCACATATCTCGATTTTTGTGTCATTCCTCTAATGCAAAATCATCGATACTGTATTTTGAATATCGATTCAGAAGTCTTTCAGACGTGGTTGTTGTGTGCCTTTCATTGTTCTGAGTCTTATAGGCCATTATTTGCTCTGGGCCTTGTAGGGCATATTTTGTATTCGGCCGAATAAATCACTTTCGTATTGGCCGTGCAGATCATTGTTTGTTTTGAGCCTCATGAATCATTGTTTCTTTGGACCTTACGATTCATTGTCTATTTTGGGCTGTACGGACCATTGCTTGTCTTGAGCCTTATGAATTATCGTTTGTTTTGGGCCGTACAGATCATAGTTTGTTTTGAGCCTTATGAATCACTGTTTTTTGGGCCCTTACTCAGTTTTATTTTGTCGTATTATATTTTTTCGCAGATTATATTTTGCCAACGCCAAATATAAAATTGCAATATACTCGTAATTCACGTAGAATAACACGTAACTGTATTAGATTAATTTTGCTATAATAAGATTTTATTCTATAAGAATGGCTGCACCATTGACATCAAGTAACTGCTCTCGACTCGGCACGCATGAAACAAACCACACAGGCCTATTTGCTTGAAGTGCATTTTTTTGCGCTAGAACATTGACTTAGGATGTATCAAATTGAGGTTGCTCTACTTAAACATGTGGTAAATATAGAAGAGGTAAAGTTATCCCTGTAAAGACGCGTCCACATTATTCGTGCTAATGTTCGCCAGGCTTTTGCTCCTCGGGAGACTCGTCTGGCTTTTACTTGTGCCCGTAAATCTTCGTCCACACTACTTCAGTTGCTCGCCAGTCTTCGGCGCGTGAGGATCCGTATATTTACTCGTAGTGTGTATAGGTTGTAGTCGCATTTTAATTTATTGGCTATAGTTTTTAAATCAAAAATTAAAAATTTGCCTGTCTCGTGCCTTGTCATATCGTCCATATTCCTCACGAAGCGAGTCACACGAGCACTAGCACAAGCACGAGTAATGTGGACGCGCCTTAACAGGCCATGGGGGCCCACAGGGTTGTGAGACGTCTCTAGGCACTCGGCTCACAGATGGCGGTGAGGCTGTCAGCCTTACTCGCCGCCCGCCCTTTACCCCCAGGAAGATTCCTGGTACTCATTTTTGGTATAGGCTTGGTTAACCCCAGGTCCGTATTGTGGGTGGAAGGATTAGGTCAATCGAAAAATTCAAGGACCTCATCGGGAATCGAACCCGCGGCCTTCCAGTTTGCAGCATAGTGCCTCAACCAACTACGCAACCGCGTGCCAAACTTAACCATATGGAGCATCATACATATAACAAATGTTGGCGTTTCTTTTACGTTATGATTCTCCTGAAGTTCCATGAAGCATTTGAGTTGAAACATGTATGCAGATTTTCTTTTCAGAGGAAATTATCGGACCCATGCCTCTTTGTTTGTGCACCCCTGTCTAACCGAAACATAAATGCATGTAACCTACATTTTAAATTTTGGCGACTACAGTCATTCTTGCTGTTTTCCACTCTGTTCGAATTCCGGAAACAAATAGTCTCGTCATTCGGTCCGTTAATTGCTGCTGGCCCTCACCAGTACGTTCATTCTTGGGCCCCTAGGGACCCATGACCATATTATTCCTTCTTGCGACTCTGAGTAGATATTTCGAGCGGAGTCCGCCTCTCGAATGGAAAGTCACTAGAAACAAATGGGCCACGTGCAAGTTCAGCACGTCCTCCTAATCTTGTTACCCTTCTCGAACCCTGTTATTTGGAGTAAAGATGGTCGCAGTTTAGTAGGTAAGCGCCACCGTTTTGAAGGAAATTGTTACATCAATCTTCAGAATTTGAAGCAACACGTTCCGAAACGTCGGTACCTATGTCAGGCTACACGGGACCAGGAGGTAACAGTTCTGACATATTCTGGAGGTCTCTAATCCGAATTACAGCTGAAGCAGCGATATTTGTGGTCGAAGATTTTTTCTGTAATTTTCCTTAGTTCCTCCAGACGAAGGCAGGGGTGGTATTTTAAATTAGGTCAAATCACAACCATTCAAATACTTTCCAATTCATTATCGTCCAGTCATTGGGGCCTGCTCAGTTCGAGCTGCTGACAACATTGTTATGTAAACTAGAACTAAAATTAAATCACGGCTTCACATTCCGAGAATCTCAATTCTCACACGCAATTCGGCTTACATTTTACTCATTTGCACCAGATATTTACGTTTTCAACGAGGTGTAAATACAACTATTGTGTTTCTGGACATCGTCCTGTTTTTATTAAATAGATACATCGTTTCGGAGACTGGATTCTGTCTCCGTCGGGCTTAATCGATAGAGGTAGTCCCTGTCTCCGGAAGGTAGGGACTAAACGGAGACAGAATCCTGTCTCCGAAACGTTGTGCCTCTTTAATAAGAAACAGGATAGTGGATAGTGTCCAGAAACACAATAATAGTACGGTCACAAACGTTGAGACGTTTGCGTACGTCAGACAGTGCAGGTATCTTGACGTCACTGCGTTTCACTACGAGAGGAACAGCAACTGCTATAACGGCTAATGTGATGCGATCCGTGACGTAAGCCGACCGAAGATGGCGCCACTGTTTCAGATCCAGACGAAACCCCAGTAGAGGATGTTGAAGAGGATGAAGGCTGCCGGGAAGAAGACGCGACTGCGCCGGTCTATCCACTGCGCAATCTGTTGCGGCGTCATCGTGGTGAAGCCGATGTTGTCGGGCGGGGCGCCGGGTGCGGGCACAGGGATTACCAGGTCCGTGTATCCAGGATCCTCCTTCGATGTGACGTTAGGGTCAGTCCGGACGGAGTCCATCGAGTTCACGGTCAGCGTGTTGCTGTCGCTCTGAAACCAGAGATGGCTGTACTCAGTCCATGTTGAGGCACTATGCTACAAGCCGAAAGATCGCGGCTTCGATTCCCGTTGAGGTAATTGGAATTTTCAATTGATATGATCCTTTCAGCCGCGCTTTGGACCTGGGTCAACTCAGCCTCTAACAGAAATGAGTACCAGGAATCTTCGTGGGGGAAAAGGGCGGCCGGCGCGTAAGGCTGACAACCTTACCGCCATCTGTGGGCCGACTGCCTAGAAAATATGGGAGACTCGACGTCTCACAACCGTATGGGCCTCCACGGCCAGTTACAGGGTTAGCTTTACCTTTTTCAGACTATGTTGTTAGACTGGGCCGCAGTGGATAAAGTCCAGTTCACTCACTGAGAGAGAGATTATAACGGCTCTATTTATTAGTCATCTATATTTAATTTTTATTGTGAGAAAAGACTTATCCTCTTGTGACTTAGACCTTAAACTACCCATTTTGCTTGTCCCCAGATTATAGGTGACAAAAATAGGGCGTATGGTTTAATGAGAATTGGCAGGGGAAACACGGGTAAGAGGTAAAGTCCCCGTGCTTAATAATTAATCACTATGATATGAAGGCGTGTGGGGGAGTGGATGTCCATATACAGCTCCATCATTTTGACCACGGCGCTAGTTGGAGGCGAGCGGTCAGCTTCACGCCCCACCGCTTTACTCCAATTGGCTAAGGTGTTGCATGGGCATCAGAGCCGGTCTGGATGCTGTGGAAAAGAGAATAATGTCTTGCATCTGCCGGGAATCGAACCCCGGCCGTCCAGCCCGTAACCTTTCGCTATACCGACTGAGTTATCGCTGCTCGTATGGAAACAGGAGTGCCACAAATTGCACCTGAATTGAAATGGGACTGAACTCTGGCCTTTGCAGTGAGAACATAGCGTTTAACCGCTTGTGCTATGGCACGGCCGTGTGTACTGGTTAGTGAGGAGGCTTAGTTCCTTGCAACCACTGTCCCGCTACTATTCTCAGGCGCATTCTAGAGACAGGGCCTGTGACTCCTGCGAAATGCAGTGACGTAAATATGTAAGGGCAAGCCCTGGGAGGGTGGCTGAGGTGGGCCCCGGGGTTCAAAAGCTTGGGCAGGCTGCCCTAGTGCACCCACTGGTCATGGTCAGCGTTGTTCGCTTGTCAGTTCGAGCCCGAAGTCGCGTTACGACTGTCGGTCAGTCCGTCAGTCTTGGTGTGGAGCCCTACTCGGGGGCCCAGTGTTTGTCTGGACAGTTACTGTGCTGTTTTCCCTGCCAGGAAAACGGGTCTATCCCATGCCAGAAGTCATGGTCGGCTGTCTGCGATGTACGTTAACAGTGTTTATATTTTCACAGTATAAAAGCGGCTTGGCTGGGCAACCGAGGAACCGGGATTCTATTGACCGCACGGGAAAGTGACCCTTCCCTTCTTCACAGAGCCCAGACCGGCTCTGGGACTCACCCAGCCTCCTCTCCAATTGGGTACCGGAATAAAGCGGCCGGGGCCTGAAACTGGCCCTTTCACTTGTACCTAGTTCTTAGGTTAACAATACGTGGAGCTATACCTCCATTCCCCATATGCCTCCATGTCGTAGTTCTTGATTAATTAAGCAGAAGGAAAACTTCGCCTTCACCTTTTACATTACACATAATCCACCCCTTGTTAGAAGCCCCAGACATTGTAAAGTGCATGCTTAAGTAATATTTACCATTTGCGCGTGTACGTGATGCATGGTAAGGGTACTTTTGTTATCCGGTACGTATAGATATGCACAAGGCCTCATTCAGCCCAGGCCCTGGACAGCAGATAATGTCTTATCTCGCTCAGCACTTAGTCATTCGAATGGCCGTAACTCTGATAGACGCCGAGTTTAAGCGTCTTGTATTTTCCGCGTTCTGCCTTGCCTTTCATTCTGCTTGCTGACTGCCATTTGTCTAACAATAGTAGTTGGAAAGGAAAGCCTTATCGCTTTTGAGAGAAATCACTTCGTTTTTAGGGCACTCGCCCGTTATACAGGGTGATGTTACTCACAGGACCGAGGTAGAACTTGAGTTCGCTGTTCGAGTCGGTCTGCACGACCGTGGGCCAGGACTGACACCGGTCGATGCTGGCAGAGGAGCCGCTGAACTGCTTGCGACTCATCTGCGGCGTCAGAGTTGATTTGAGGATGTACTTACTGTTGACCTTCTTGAGCTCTACGTTTTTCCTGTAACACACGTGAGCTGATAAACTGTGCTGTCTCTATACAACAAACGGTACCCTCAAATCCCGTTGTCTGCCCTCGTTATTCTCCATTGCTATGGGATACCAAAAACATAACTTTCTCTCGTTATAATTTTACTAGTATTCCCTTCAATTTTACCCTGAAAATGGGACCAGCGGTTTTCTTCGAAACGTTAGTAGGCGCCTGCTAAACCTAGAAGACCTAACTCTAAATTTTTACCGCCATTGACAACTCAAATGTCTTCAAGTAGTTCTTGAAATTTTCTACATGTAATAGTTCGCCAGACAACTTGGTCCACTCTTGCGCGCTGTTGATCTAGGAGAGTTCCAGATGATGATAAGCATCCGTACTGAAACACCGCCGTCTATGCTTGTCATCATCTGGTCCTAAAGTAAAGGAAGATTTATCCCTGTTCTTAATTAATTAAGCTTCACGCCATGGAGACGTATTGGGGAGTGGAGTTATAGCTCCACAATTCTTGATTTCGGTACTAGGTGGAGGCGAGTTGTCAGCTTCTTACTCTTACCGATTTACTTCTTGGGGGAAGAGCCCGATGGTAGCCATTTGATGGGAAGTTGGGCGAGCCCCAGAGGCGGTCTGGAAGCTGTGGAGCAGAGAGAAATCTCTTTCTACGGCCGGGAATCGAACCCCGGCCATCCAACCTCTGAGCCATCACTATGACTCCTGAGCTGTCGCCTTCTGGTCTTACCATAACTAACTGATTTTGGTTTGCGTGGAAGCGACAGAAGTTGCCCTATGTAGGAGATGTGCCGAACCCGTGCCTGTGACACGAACCGCCCATTACGTCACTTACTTCCTCCGCCATATTGTGTTGACAAAGGCGAACTCGACGAGCGAACCGAAGATGAAAGCCGTGCAGACAATGAACCAAATCTCGGTGGCCTTGATGTAGGACACCTTGGGCAGGGAGCTGCCTGTGTTGCGGGTCAGGGTGATGAATGTGAGCATAGTGCTCGTGCCTGTCAACAGAGGGCTCTCTCTTATCCTCATGTCGTTTGTATCCTGAAGATGGAGGCAACAGGAGCCTCTGAAATATGGGTACCTATATTCCGAACTACAAACGTCCAGTCAAGTCCAGTTCAATAAATTCCTGCTGGCCTTCGTCAGCACAGTCATTCTTGGTTTCGGGTCCCGTCGAGCCCCACTGACCATATTTTTATTCTCAGACTTTTACGCGTTTTGAAATGGGGCCTCCTCTGCGACGAGACGAGGGGTCTGCCTCTTATTGATCACTCCCCCTCTACATATTGGGGAGTGACTGCCGGTTGTCACTCACTCACTCACTACAAACGTCACATTTCAGATGACTGTAATATTGGTACTTACCGCGACGAGAATCGCAAATCTGGCTCGTTTTTACATGTTGCCATGGTAACGTATAATTTCCATTATTGAGAAGCTGAACCCTTAACCGTCGGGATATAGGAGGACACGTTTATTTGGCAGACATTCTTAAACATATAATTGAACTATACCAAATGGGACTGAGCTTTTAAGCGAAATATCTCGTATGTAGCATGGAAAGCGTTAACACATTCCAAATTCATAGCTAACAGGTTTAAAATTGAATCAACTAATTCCTATACGTGGTGCAATCCAAAAGTTCCAGAAATATATTAATAAAAACTATTACGTCTTACCTGGATCTTATTCTGCACCATCACCTTCAAAATAGTCCCCTTGGAAGCGCATACACCGATCCCAGCGTTTCTGCCACTTTTGAAATGCATCCTGGAAGTCTTTCTCTGTTAGGGTGTTTAGTACCGTCTGCATTTCCGCTTGAAGTTCCTCAACTGTATCAAATCTTCGCCCCTTCAACTTGATTTTCATCTTGGGGAAGAGAAAGAAGTCGCATGGAGCTAAGTCTGGCGAGTACGGTGGGTGGGGAACAACTTCCATCTTGTTTTTAGCCAAAAATTCCTGCACAATGTAAGCCGTATGCGGTCTTGCGTCGTCATGGTAGACTACCCAGTCGTTCGTGCTCCACTTCTCTGTATGTTTTCTCCTCATGTCATCCCTTAAACGCCTTAGAACATCGCGACAGAACTCTTTATTGACTGTCTGACCAGGAGGGACGAACTCCTTGTGAACAATCCCGTCAATATAAAAAATAAACAGATCAACATGGACTTAACGTTGCTCTTGACTTGTCGAGCTTTTTTTTGGTCGAGGTGAAGAAGGGCTGTTTCATTGTGACGAATGCGGCTTACTTTCAGGGTCGTAACCATAAACCCAACTTTCGTCACCAGTGACAATCTTCGGAAGAAAATGAAGAAAGTCGTCTTCTGGATTTGGGCGCCGTGTATTCTTCGTTTTGGCCGACGTTCCTCCGAAACGTCGGCCAAAACGAAGAATACACGGCGCCAAAACCCAGAAGACGACTTTCTTCATAGTCATCGCCGTGGAAACCTCAAAACTTACTTCGGAAGAAAGTTTGGATCCTCTTGAAGCTGTTGCTGAAGTTCCCTGCAGACTTCCAAGCGATGCTGCTTCTGTTCATTTTGCAGCAGTCGTGGCACAAACTTCGCCGCCATCCTCATGTTCAGTTCCTCTGACAAAATTCGTTGACATGTACCATAACTTAGTCCCAAGGTGTTACAGAGGACTTGGATGGTCAGTCTACGATCTTGCAGAATCAGATACCTAACTTTCGCGACATTTTCTGATGTGGTGCCAGTTGACGGCCGTCCCAAACGATCGTCATCATCAGTCGATGTTCGGCCACTTTCGAAACGCTTATACCAGTCATAAGTTTGTGTGTGGCCTAAACTGATGTCACCAAAAGCTTGCTTCAACATTTGGTGCGTTTCTGCAGCCGTTTTCTCAAGTTTAAAACAAAACTTTATACAGATACGCTGCTCTCTCAGGTCAGCCATCGCAAAACCGCAAACTCACGGAAACGCAACAATGCAAATACGTTCACTAACAATAAACCCAACCACTCAACTCGACGCTGCTTGCCACACTGATTCAAGAAGGGTGTGTGGCGAGACACCTAGCGGTATTTCGATGTACTTATAACCATTCGCGCGCAAAATTCAAATTTCTGGAACTTTTGGATTGCACCACAATATACGGACATTAAGTTCGCAAGAACAAACTGTTGACACAAATTCTGTTTGCGAGCGGTGAGGACCAGCCAACAGGTCACTACACAGGCCAACAGCCTCATCGAGGTAATAACTTGTCGAAACAAACAGAACACGAAGGTCAACGGACTTGTTCTGCGGTGCGTACACTGCAACAAGCGTACCATCCCGTTTGTGCTGTTCGATGCAGCTCTAGTGCAGAGTTCAGTTCGATATTTCGAAACCCAGCACTCCCCGAACATGAAGCCCCGCCCACCCGAGCGCCATGCTCTCTCGTGTTGATTGCAGGACGACGCGACGCGATGCTTACCGAGTGTAGTTCTGCCGGGCACGGCGTTCGGGTCCAGCCAGAAGGAGACCCAGGACACGACGACCAGCAGGATGCTGGGGACAAAGTAGTCCATGATATAGTGGCCGACTTCTCTGGCCAGGTCGAACCGCACTGTCAGGGCGCTGTAGTTACCACCTGCAACGTCATTTAGTCCAGCATCATCCGAGGAGCCGAGGTAGGCTACGGGCCGGCGACAGAGGAATCGGGGTTCGAGTCCCGTCAGAGGTACAGATTTTTCTCTTGTCTGCCGTGTCCAGGCTGGAACTAGGTCCCATACGGCCTCTTCCCGAAAGGTTAAGGAGGGACCTGGGGTAGAGGGGCAGAAGCTGCTACTCACGTAGAAATAGTGGCGATGTTAGGAATCCGCGGAGCTATCCGACACGTCGGCTTCACTCCCTGTTCACTCGTGAAGGTTGGTGGGCCCCAGAGCCGGTCTGGGTGCTCCTGCCTGGAATCGAACCCCGGACGCCGACCTCGCAGCCCAACACATTCTAATATGAATTTCCTTCCTTTCCCGAAACTGTCTACTCACCGAATTTCCCGTACAGGCGGGACTGCAGGCCGAAAGCCGTTCTCACGTCAGCTGTGAGGGAGTAGTTGGCGACGCTGAAGTTGGACCACATGTTGACCAGGCGGTACTCGGTGAGGTGTAGGTCCCTGTTCACCGTGACGGGCGAATCGGACTCCCAGAACAGGTTCAGGTCGCTGCTATTGTGTGTCCCTGCCAAATCGTACTCATCAGTGCTTTGTGCGTGGGGTGCTGACGCTTCGGAGGGATATGCTGCTTCCATCTTCAGAGCTACTCAGCAATTTGGCTCGACCGGTAACGCTTCTGACTTACAGTTATTGGGGAGGCGTCCGATTCGAATCTCGGCCAGAACACCGAAAATCGTGACTGAGGTTTTCGTGGGTTTCCCCAGTTCCTCCAGACGAATGCTGGGATAGTATCATGAAATGTGTTTCTAGGTCACACTTTTGCCACCTGCCCTTGACGCCAAGTTACACGATTTCAGTGTGCGGTCCGTTTGGGTGCCAGAACAAGTAGCTCAGTTGATGCAGGGCAGTGGGCCCCTCAGCTGGGGGAGCATATTATTTCGCACCCCCTTCGTTACATACAAAATATAGCTTTTGCATTTTTAGAAGCAACACATTTTAAGAAGAGTACGGTGTCGTGGGTTGTAACGCCATGTAGTTTGGATAAATCTTGACGTTTCGGAAGACCATATTGCCTCTATCTTCAGGGTCGAACATTAAACGAAGATAAAAACCAGCAGAATCTCAGATTGCGCCATGCTTCTGCTTAGTACGTGCTTGGATTATTCTCCGACCCTGAAGGTCGATGCGATATGTTTCTCCGAAACATCGGGCTGTACGAAATACACGACATTGCAGTCTAGCAGTCACAGCCTTGAGAACATCAAATCCAGCACATTTTAAGTTTATATTAAATAACATTTATGAAAATCTTGCAGAACTGATACTTTGGAAATTATACTCAATTCAATCAACCCTTCCTCTCTCCTCTCTATTGATTTCCCATTGGCCCCTCTCCCTTCCCTTCCTGCTCTTATAGAGCTGGATGTTTTTCGACTGGTGACTCAGTCTGCAGCCACCTGCTCACGCTGGTTCCTCACTCGCGGATCATTTATACCCTGAAAATGGAGGCGATATATTCCTCCCAAACGTCGATTAACACAATATCTACACGGCGCTACATCCCAGAAGACAGCATTCTTCATAGTCAGCCGTGAAAACCTCAAAACCTTGCATAATTATGTTTTACTGTGTAGTTTCCCAGAATATCGTGACCGTCTAATTGCGACCCCATGGGTGGCGCTCCCCACAGTTTGGAAACCATTGATGTAGAGCGTACTTACAACTCTCCAGCACCAGAGGGCACTGCTGCTGGTCGAATGGGAACTTCTGTAGGTTCATCAGACAGAACAGCGTCACTTTCATCCTGCGAAAGATAACGAACTCATTAGCCCAGCGAATTTGGGCCCAAGTCCTTGGGCGAGGGGCCCTTTAATTAGCAAGTACATGCAACAGGCTCACAAGTACGCACATTCGAATCCCTGCGGAGACACCAACTGTCCTGACTGAGACTACTGTTTCTTCCTTCCAGATCCTTTCCAATTCATTATTCACTAATCATTCTATTATTCGGCGCTATACAATTCGCGATATTGAAATCATTGTCAAAACCACTTCCTCGTTCTCTAACGAGCCAGAGATGAAGCCCCAAATTTAAAGACCGAGGATGTGATACTGTGCTGCGTGACAGGGACACCGTACACCTCAGAGGGGCATAATAAATTGGCCTGGGGCGGTGGTGGAATTATGATGAGCGGGGAAAACCGAAGAAATTTGGAGAAAAGACGTACGTAGTTGGTTGAGGCACTATGCTACAAGCCGGAAGGTCGCGGGTTCGAATCCCGAAGAGATGGATTCTTTTCAATTGATCTAATCCTTCCAAACGTACTATGGCCCTGGGGTCGACTCAGCCTCTAACGGAAATTAGTACCAGGAATATTTTTGGTGGTAAAGGGCGGCCGGAGCATAAGGCCGACAACTCCACCGCCATCTATGAGCCGAATGTCAAGAGAAAATGTGGGAGCCTCGACGTCTCACAACCTTAATTGGTCTCCACGGCCTGTTACAGGAAGAGCTTTACCTTTATACTTTTACCTTCCTAACGATGACGTAACGATTTACGTCACTGTGTGATGATGTGAGGTGGGGGCGTGGGACTCCAACTGACCTGGCAGAGAGGACCACTGTTCCGTCGGGCTCCACAGTGAGCAGGACGTCCTTCTTGTCTGCGCCCATCACGACGGATTCTTGTTCGTTCACCAGGTACACGTGGGGCGTCCACAGACGGTCCCTGCGCAGACGCATCAGGAGAGAGAGAGAATGGGTGAGAGTACAGTGTTACTGATTCCCGAGGAAGAACAACTCAAGTCACCTAAAGAGCCCAAAAGGAATATTTGGACACAGAACAAGCGAATCGAGCCACTGTCCGTCCCCCTCACAAGCAGGCGACTGCTTCCCGGCCCTCGTCCCTGCTTCCCGCACTAATTCCCCTGTATACTTCTACCCTGAAGACAGAGGAGCACGTTCCTCCGAAAACTTGATACCCCATCTACGAAACTGCACGGTCTCACACTCAAGAAGACTGCAATCTTACAACGCCGAGAAACTTCGCTGTTTGTATTTCGCATCTACCTTGAGAAACTGACAGTCGCTCAGCTAGTCAGAAAATTCCCACTCTTTGTCTTACCGTGTTCACATGTCCTTGTCCGGATGATCCAAGCGATAACATCCAATCCTATTTATTTAAGGTCCTCTTTAGTATTATCCCATCTACGTCTAGGTCTTCCAAATTAACTCTTTCCTTAAACTTTTCTTACCAAATTTCTTCTATCTCATGCGTGCTACATGGCTCATCTTTCTCATCGTTGATTTGATAATCCTAATAAAATTTGGCATGAATAAGAAATACGGAGCTTCATATTATGCCCTTTTCTCTACTTTCCTGTCTCTTCGTGTCCACACATTCTCATCTTCTCCCTTTGCACTTCGCATCTAGTGCAGCATTGCAGTAACTGAAGGAGGGAAGGCGGTGGGATGACGATCATACGAAATTTAATGAAAACTTGTGCATGCTTTTTAATAGACACACACACTCACGCGTGTGTGCCTTCCTCATGTACACAGGAGGCAAGCGGAAGCTATGAAAGAGTTAATGATCAGTGGTGAATGGTGCTAGTGGTGCTTACCTGGGGGCACCCTCCCGGACAACCAGGGGCACACCGGGGGCGAAGCTTTTGTATTCGAGCCGGGGGTCCACCCACCTCAGCCGCAGCAAGATGTGCGCCGTGAATTGCTGCAACACACACAGCTCTCCGTAGCAAGTTGGCAGGCACACTCTGCATATAATAATAATAATAATAATAATAATAATAATAATAACAATAATAATGTGCGATGTACTCGTATTCAACGACGCTGATAGCAGCTCACACTGTCTAGGGTTGAATGGTAGGATGATTAGTGTATAATGACTTGGAAGGGATGTGAAAGGAAGCGGTCATTGCCTAATTCGAGGTGCTATCCCCATATTTTCCTGGAGGGATTGATGAAGGTTACGAAGTCGTCAGTTAAGGTAGACGGTGTCTCAGCCCAGGATTCGAACTGGTTACCTCCCGAATACAGGTCAGAAGCGCACATTCATCTGTTATAGTTCCGAGGCTAGGAATTCGTGGAGATATGCCTCCACTTCGCCATACAACATGTTTAATTAAGCTCAGGAGCCACTTTTAAACGATTGGCAGGCTCACGCGCAGTTGCCACTGTCATACAAGTGGCTTACCGCAACAACCGAGAGGGTTAGTGCAGCGGTAACGCTCCAGACTCATGTTGGAGGGGAGGGGGATAGTGTGTTGGAATTTCGGCCGAAACACCGCTCATCCTGACACATTTCGTTGTTTTCCTCAGCCCAACCAGACTGTACTTCAGGCCACAGGCGTTTTCTTCTAAATCCTTTCTGATTCATTATTTTTCACGCTAATAGGTGACGCTGAAGCTGGGATAGCTCAGTCGGTATAGTGACTGGCTACGGACCAGGGTTCGTGTCTATTCTTTACAGTGTCAACGCCGGCTCTGGGGACACACCCAGCCTCCTCTCCAATGGGTACCGGAGGCTCTTTCCTCGGGGATAAGGAGGCCAGATCGTGAAGCTGGCCACTCACCTCTATCTAGTGTCGAGGTAAAGAATGGGAGGCTATACCTCCACTGCCCCGAATGTGTTCACGGCGTAGTGCCTGTATCCGACACAACATTGTGACAACTAAAGCACAGAAGAAGCGATATAAATATCGACAGATCGTGACGAGCATGAGAACATTTCCGTGAGAGCAGAAAAACGAACAGGCGCAGAGGCCAGAGCCTCTAGACTGATCGGTACCCATGATCAGTCCGTGAGTGACATATAAAACGGTCGGTGTATAATGTCAAGGCGGCCATTAGCGTTCCACACACGTCCGTGACACCAGATGGACACAGAATACAGCGATGCTCGCTGACTAGCCTTGCGGCTAAACATGGAACGGCCAGGACAAGATGGCCTCTCTGTGCGTCGTTTGTCTCATGCTAATAGCAGCACAACAGTTGAATCCCAACATCCAATCGGACTAAATCTGTCTCATGCTAATGCTCGCACTTACATAACCTCAACAGTTATCGCACGAGAAGGCTACAGGTCAGGAACACAGAGTGACTGAAGTGAAACAGTTTGTTTCGTAAAGTCACTTCTCTTCTGTCTACTTACTGACTCGATTTTCTTCCTAATTCTCTATTAAGGGCTGGAGGGCCGAGTAATCGAAGTTTGATTCCCGGCAAGGGCGGAAACTCACACGGCTTCCTATTCCCAGGTATTAAGTGGCCGGAGCTTCCTCTATCCAGCATCAAGGTTAAGAATTCGTGGAACTGTAGCTCCACTCCCCCACACGGCTTCGAGTCGTGGTGCTTAACTAATTAAGCACAGGGCAACTTCACCGTTTACTTCCTGAATTTTGACTACAGGAATTGAAATAAATTATAGAGATTAGTTCAGGGCAGACGGTCTCCAGGCCGAGACTCTAACCCGGGACCTCCCAGATAGAAAGCAAGAGTTCTAACCACGCTACGGGGGCAGTTAATCAGTTGCTAATTAGTTGGCTGTGTAGGCAGCGAGGCACGAAGACCATAAAGCCATAACTAGAATGTATGACGTCACTTACTAGGCTCTGGGCTTCGATGGCCCCCAGGAAGTACACGTGCATCCGGACCCCCACTTGGAGCGGGCCCGATCTGTTCCCGGGGGGCGCCCACTGGTCGTACCTGCAGGGGGCGACGAGGTCGTTCAGTAGTTCAGTTGCCATGTTCGATTTCCTGATGTCCGGACAGTTCCTGCGCAGAACGTGCGTCATTAAACAGCAGAATCAGTTTTGTACTAGCAATACCAAAACCGTGATCCGGAGCCAGTTCTATCCAAATTAGCCAACTCTCTGGTAGGAGAACGCGAAGGCTCAACACCGCCAGTACCAAAGCCCGCCTTCAGACACGAACCTGGGCCAGCTGCATCCACCTCCCACCCTCCTAAGAGTGTCCTTAAAATCCCGACTCACGTCAGGGACCCTTCTCTTTCTCTAACAGACTCCATACAGAGGATACTTCTTCAGGTCTAATAATCGCAGAGCTGGTTAGCAAATGCCTCTCGTTTTATGGAACTCGAAGGTTCATCACCGTGTTCACAAGAGCCTACCATTGAGACAACTTTGTACAGTGCATACCCCTCTCACCTCTTTCCGCTACTCCTACATATTGAAACATGTGGACCCATTGCCAAGTAACAGCTGTGTAAACAGCCGTTGCTGGGGAACAGCTGTGTGGACAGGTTTCTCCAGCAACGAGAGAACGCGCAATAATAGAAGAGACGTTTTCTATGCGGTCCGTGCCGGGGATGTGTAACGAGGACTAGTAACTTATTTGAGTCATCATCTCGTGTGGAAGCGGGTTCGAATACCTCCACCGTAACCCTGCGAGTCGTAGGAGCCGACGAAAAGGGAACCCGGTGCCTGGGTATAACTGGGCCACTCTGTCACGAGGGGACATGAATACGGGGATCTGGCCCTCCAGGTTGGGAGAATGTCGAATGTGAGACAGCAAAATATGAACATGAGTCCTCGTAACTCGGACCCGAGAATGACTGTGCTGGCGAGGCCAGCAGCAATTGTAAACGACAGACCCGTCCTCTTGTAATATACTGACCGACCGAGTGAGCGCCACTTGTCGGCGAAGTCAGTATAGTTTGCTTGCGAACTACAGGCCACGGAGTTTTTTTTTTTGTTTTTGTTTTATTAATATACTCTATACTTCTTTCCGTTTTCAATTTCGTTCTTTTCCAAAAATCCGTGACGGGGACAGATGCCCTACTGCCTCCGGCGCTGGCGTCCCTGGTTGTCCGCTTATCCGCTCACAATTCTATGTAAGGAGCGGACTTGGAACCGTGAACCTCGTCACCGGGCCGAGGTGTGAAGGTGAGATGCACCGCCAGACGTGACGTGACTTTATGATTAGGGCCGTGACCGTGTGGTGGGGGGACATGCGGCCACGCCACTGCCCTCGTGAACTGTTCGGTGGACACAGCGAATTTATTTATTTGTTTCATTTCTAGATTGCTTAGCGACACTGCCATCAGCACAGAATAACTGTTTCAGAGCTCGAAAGTTTGTCGAAGTACGCGATCTGGATTATTTTAACGAATTATGCGTTTGTTTGCCTTGGGGAACTGAGGAAAACCACAAGAAATATCAGACACTGTAGTCTGTATCCCCCACTAGTGTTCGAACCTGGCACCTCCCGACTAAAGGCTAGGAGCCAATTTTGCCAGTTTGATTTGTCTTAATTTTTTGCAGCATATATCAAGGTTATTATTTTATCATGATTTATTTGTGTAAACTGCAAATGGGTTTTTACACGGTGGCACTGCTACTACAATAAGACAAAACACACAAATACACACGCGACACAAAACTACACAACAATAAAGGACACACTACACACGATGAATACAGTGCAATGCCGGCCTGTAGCCATAATGTGTGGTTCATAGCTCAGGCGGTTAGACTCTGGTTTGTCGTTGCAGAGCCTCGAGTTCGTTCCCAGCCGACTGCAACGGCAATTTGTGTCCGAAGAAGTGGGACCGTAGTAGACTTTTCTTCATCCGAGTGTCTGATTTCCACTTATAATAACTACTCCACCATTGCTCCATTGCCCCCTGAGGCGCTGGATAGCCCTGTTAGGTAGCACATTATCAGAGCCTCGGTCCTTGCGTTGGGGCTTCCTCTCTGACCGGCCACTCGGCTGGTTGCAGGGCGAGGAAATTGCGACTCCAGCCTGCGCCATGACTGTCCTACGTATGTAACAAGCCGGGAACAGCGAAACATATGCGGCATTTCACTCATTCCAAGTTAAAATCGAGCACCAATAAGGAACAGCCAGTCAGAGCCAGAGGTACTTTACGACTGGCAGTTGAGGGCCAATCAGTTCGTCTTGGCGACAAGCCCCTTGAGACCCACGACCAGTATATTGTCTTTTTAACTGAACACTTGCGGTTATAGACCTTATGTAACCATCTTCTCTAACGAAAGTATGGGCCTATCGTTTACAATTGCTGATGGCACTCGCCAGCGCAGTCATTCTGAGGTCTGAGTCCCACATGACTCATGACCATGTTTTACTGTTTCAGACTCAAGACTCCCTCAACCTGGAGTTTCGAGTCCCCGTATTTGTGAAGTATACTTGTATTCCTGCGCGGGGCCAACGATGTTTCGGCCAAACTGTAGAGAAACGCGAAACGTTTTATCTAGAGCGATACACTCTTTCTGTTAATATTGCGCTCTTCAAGATATTGAAACAGAGCAAAGCTGTCGAGCAAGAAATGTTCATTTATGCGTAATTTCCTAACTTTAACAGTACAAACTTCTGGGATTGGTGCCGCATAGCCCGGTATAAATTTGCTGACGTTTCGGTGCAATATATTGCCTTCATAACAGCTGCACACAACGCAATAAGAGGAAATACCCAAGAGCATAGGATACATGGGCAAATAGACGAGGGCATATCCCTAAAACTGAAGTTACGGACAGAAGCACAGAAATTTTAGACACACCTGAAGATGACCAATATTGGTCGAAACATGTAGTGTGCATACACAACTGACGCAGAAGAGATTTTTAAAGTTTAGAACTTTTAAAGGTTTTAAAAAGCAAGTTGCATGTGACACGGCTAATAACTAATATTGAATAAGTAAGTTAAGTGGAACGAGACGCTATGATACAATATCATTGAATTCACCTTCAAGACTGAAGTGTAAACCATTCAAGCAACCAGGAAGAAGCGATTTACATATTTATTTGCCCTTCGTGTTAATTTATTTCGGCGATAATTTTATGCTGCCATGCTAATTAATAAGGCATACGTCAGCAAAATTATCACTCCCACTGGTACCAGAGGCAACGGCGGCTTTAACGGCACTTGAAAACAGTTCATTGCGTTTCTCTAAGCACTGCCTTCACATGAAACCGTTTCCGAATGAAGGCTGCTAATCCTAACAATATCTTTATTTTGCCACCTATCATTGTCTATGTTATGAATCGAATAGGTTGATGTAGGAATAAAAGTCTGCAGTTGTATTCAGAAGTTGAACGGTTCGAATCCCGTCCGGGACACCGGCTATCCTGGTTAAGATTTCTCGTACTTTTCCTCAGTACTTCCAGGGAAATGTCGGTATGGTACCTCATACCACGATCTCTCCCTTCCAGACCCTTTCCAATTCGTCATTCTGCCATCTATATGATCTCGATACTGAAAGCGTCGTTTTATAACCAACTAAAAGAGTTGTAATGCTGTCAACTCTGCTCGCTCAGTGACTGGGCTGCCGACTGGACGACCGGAATTCGATTCCTCAACTGGTAACATCCAAGTCTCCTCCTGAATGGCTAGCTTTGGCATGGAGCGGACAGCTGATCTCCGGCTTGTGCCGAAACAATAAAGCGTGGATCGACAAATCCTCCACCCTCCATACGCCATCACGGCAGTGTGCTCAACACTTTGAGGCCCGAAGCTCATCCGTGCATTTAAACGTTCAGCTCGTACCGCATTGAAAATATGACGCCGTGTAGTCCGGTAGAAGTGAATTTCTACATCCAGCTTCCGTCAGACTACACGGCGTCACATTCCAGAAGGCAGTGCTGTTTATAGTAACCGTGGCGAGAAGTCCAGCAAGCAGTTGATGCAGAATGTGTGCATGCGCGACGCATATTGTCACGTGATAGTGTTACTATAGACGGTGTTTGGACTGGTAATTTGATTGTATTTAACACCCACAGATGATAACTAAAAGTAACTTTAACACTATCGCCAATTCACACACACTGCAGCTCACCACACCAAGTACCAAGTCTTCTCAGTGTGTTGCATCTTCACCGGTTGTCACCTGATAACGGCTTCCAAGGCCGTAGACACCTCAACTTCCGTTTTCACGTCAATACTGGCCGATGACTGTCTCGCAACTAACTAAACGCTAGACGTTTCCTGCTTATAACACCTCAGCACGGACCGCGTAGAAAAAACAGATCTTAATTCTTGTATTTAAATTGTTGCTGTGGGAACATGTCCGTTTGCGAAGCCGTTACTCAGTGACGACTACCATATATTTGCTTATTCCGCGGTCGTTGCCTAGCAATGGGCCTGTTTGTTATAGTATGGGCCCCGAAAGGATAATTATACCGATGGACTACTTCATTCTTATTAAATAAAATTCGAGTTTCAATTAAAATTGAGTTTGTGTTCCGTTTATAAGAAATAAAATTAACTTGACCCAACAAGTTAGGATAGTGACACCGAAACGTTTAAATCTGAATGGTCTGGTTGGTTGTGGAGATGAATCGAGAGGACGGACAGATGATCTCCGCTATTCGTTCCTTCTGATGTACTTCATATCTCTACATTTGAATCCAGAATATGATGTATTAAAATGAGTACGCTGTGTCTAAAACGTCATCAGACAGTGACCTAGTTCACGACGCCATCAGTAGATTCTATGTTCTGCGGGAAATCGGAACCAAGACCTTGTTCATCACACGGGTCTATCCCTCCACACCGCGTGACGTGCCGTCGAAACATTTTTAAACCAGCGATTTCCAAAGTGTTGGAGCCCCTGGGATGTGACTAATTGGCTGGTAGAGGAGCGAGATACTCTAGAAAACTTACATTCTAAAGTTTTTTATTAGTTTAATTTTCTCATGGGGTAAGACTGAGTCCACTTGGTACTGCGGCCACTGTTTGGCCTATTGTACCAACCCCAGTTGATAAATCATTAGTGTGCAGCAGTCGGTGGAATGCGA